CCATTGGGTGCAAATGGGTCTTCAAAAAGAAGACTGGCATGGATGGTAAGGTACAAACCTTCAAGGCACGATTGGTAGCAAAAGGATATCGTCAAATACATGGTATCGACTATGACGAAACTTTTTCTCCAGTTGTCATGATTAAATCCATTCGGATCTTACTTGCTATCGCAGCATACCACGATTACGAAATCTGGCAGATGGACGTCAAAACGGCTTTCCTTAATGGAAACCTCCTTGAGGATGTCTTTATGACACAACCTGAAGGGTTTTGCGCTCCTGAAGAATCTACCAAGGTATGCAAGTTGCAGCGATCCATCTACGGATTGAAGCAAGCCTCACGGAGTTGGAACATCCTCTTTCACGAAACTGTCATCGGCTTTGGTTGTGAAAGAAATTCGGATGAATCTTGTGTATACAAGAAGGTCAGTGAGAGTGCTGTAGTCTTCCTTGCTCTGTATGTTGATGACATACTGCTCATAGGAAACGATATTCCTACTTTAACCACCGTCAAAACGTGGTTGAGTAAAAGTTTCTCTATGAAGGACTTGGGAGATGCCAGTTATGCACTTGGCATAAGGATCTATAGGGATAGATCACGGAAGCTTTTAGGTCTCAGTCAAAGTACATACATAGACAAGGTTCTCGCTAGATTCAGCATGTCTGAATCGAAACGAGGAAGTTTACCTATGGTCCAAGGCACGAGTCTTTCCAAGACTCAGGGTGCTTCCACTCCAGAGAAAGTAGAACGCATGATAAATGTTCCTTATGCGTCGGCCATTGGATCCATCATGTATTCGATGGTATGTACGAGACATGATGTCGCTTTTGCTCTGAGTGTCACGAGTAGATACCAGTCCAACCCTGGCGAAATCCATTGGACGGCTGTGAAGAACATCCTTAAGTACTTTCGTAGGACTAAGGATTCCTTCCTGGTATATGGCGGAAAAGAAGAGCTCAGTATTGTCGGATATACTGATGCCAGCTTCCAGACTGATAGAGATGACTTCAAGTCGCAGGCGGGGTATGTGTTTTGTTTGAATGGCGGAGCTGTTACCTGGAAGAGTTACAAGCAAGATACTACCGCTGATTCCACTACAGAAGCAGAGTACATGGCTGCAGCTGAGGCAGCCAAGGAAGGTGTGTGGCTCAAGAATTTTATTATTGAGCTTGGAGTGGTTCCTAGCATCAAGAACCCTATACCGTTGTTTTGCGACAACAATGGGGCAATTGCACAAGCGAAAGAACCTCGGTCTCACCAAAAGACCAAACACATCGTTAGACGTTATCACATTATACGAGAAATCGTTCCACGTGGGGACGTTGAGATTTGCAAGATAGGTACAGACGACAATATCGCGGATCCGTTGACGAAGGCTTTGGGAAAGCCTAAACACGAGAGTCATACGTGGTCCATGGGCATTCGAGAAATACTTGATTGGCCTTAGGGCAAGTGGGAGATTGTTGTATTTAGGTGCCCTAGCGGCAATCAAATACCTATGTAACTGTACACTTTATCATGAATGAAAGGCCTTGAAGTATGTTTTATATCTCGTGTAACATAACATAGCTTCAGTCCATAGACGATAGTGCTTCAGTAACATAGATGAGGACTACGATGTTCTGATTATGAGACTGTTACTTCTTGACGAAGGCTATGTCTAGAATATACCTAGTCGCACTTTATGATAATACGGACGTCATAACGTATCAAGACTAGTACGTACGAGATGAGATAGTTGCGTCTCATAGACTATAGGTATTGTGATATCTTAATCTGTACGTAGGTGCATATTATATCGATAATATGTGACTGGATTGACCCATCTTGAGAATACTGCATGGATCTACAGTAATGTGGTTATCAGTATTCTCAAATCGACCTTGCTATAACTATCCTTAGACTTGAAGTTATTACATTCTATGATATGTGGGGCCGTATGCTTTGATTCATAACTAATACTATCTGAAATACTGGAAGACGTACAGTTATGCGTTGGGTATGCCGCTAAGCATATTTAGAGATGTGAATAACAGATACTGTCCCTTCTACTGTATAGAAGTATAATGTCAATGGGCCCACTGAATAGTGGGACTTGGGAAAGTGCATGGCCATGCCCAGATATGTCGCTATCTAGAGACTGATAAATATCTGATCCCTACCAGGCTACTTGAGATTCAGTAACAGCTGATTTAACTATACAAGGATACACATCTCATGCCTTGTGTTAAATCATGACATTTAGGACAGAAGGATAATAGTTATAGAACATCTTGTGTCGTAGAAGGTATTGATGAGATGAACGTCTTTTTCATAATATGGGGGTAATAATGTGTTGCTAGATACCGCTTATTATCTATGGTATTAATTTTATTAATATCATTGCCAGTGTTATGGATACCTAAAGGGTCACACACTTAGGACTTGTAAGGGAGTAGTATACTACACTAGTGGGAGTAATATTAAATATATAGTTGTGATAATTTTATACATATATATGTATTTCGAAAATACATATGTATTTTAAAATTATATTTTGTTTGTGTCATTTTAATTATATGATAATTATATTTTGACAAAACA